GGTAATTGCCGAAGGTGCTTGATGAACGAAGGAGGAGAAAAAATGAGGGGAGGACAAGACGGAGGACACTTTCACTTTTACAGGTGTATGACCGGCTCAAGAACGCAAAGCTCGATCGAACGAGCGAGAGAGAATGAGACGATGAAGAGAATCAGCGAAAAAGACGATAGGGAGAGAAAAGGATAGACAAAAGAATATCGAGAAAGAGAGTGAAGAACGAAAGGGGAAGAGAAGAAGGAAGGTTTAATGTCGTAGTGATCTCCGACCGTTTCACAAAGTGGAAGGCTCACGCGATCCGCTAGATAACGGCCCATTGGCCACGTGCTCGTACTAATGTCGCATCATGCTGATACAAAATGTTTTGAGCCTATTCGTTTTTTATGATAACAGCAGCTTATGTGAATGAATTTGGATATATTTTTTTTTCAACAATCGACCTCGCGGAATGTATGTATATGTAATGAAACGGTGAACACAATAATTCATTGCAATAGCGGATATGATCGCATTAAAAGCTACGAGTCGACAGTAAAATAGACAAGACTCGAGATAAGAGAAAAAAAGGGGAAAATAAAGAGAGTAGTATAGAACAAGGGCGAAACGAAAAGAAAGAGAAAGAGAGAGAGAGAGAGAGAGAGAAAACAGCAAAAAAAGAAAGAAAAAGAAAAGAAAAAAGAGAGAAGATCGCAATCAAGGTCGATGACCTGGACGTCCGCGTTGAATTTATTCACTACCAAAATATATTGTTGGTCCCGATGGTTCGGAGTGGTTCCAGTGGGTCAGTGGTTCATGAGGGACCCAGAACCAAGCCTGCCGGAGATACGTGGTACAGAAACATCCTTTATATGCGATTTTGGCTTTTATTTTTGTACCTGAAATTATCGGAAAGATCGATGCACAGTGCTGTTTGCCAAAAACGGCAAACAATAATGATAGGAAACGCGAAATTATTATAAACTTTTGCATTCACAAACCACCTATAGAAACAGACAGAGTTAATATTTATTATATTAATATCTTAATATCTAATATATTAGGTATTTTTAATATTTAAATTATTAATATCAAAGCATGTCAAACATTTTACTTATTAGTCGCAATTAATTATAATATGTATGTGTGATCAGTAATTTAATCAGTAAATAAATAATATAAGTACAATGTTTTGACACTTACTTTGAAGTGGTTTGGTTTCTTTTTATTTTATAGTAAAATGGTGACACAATAAAATCTTTTATCTGAAAAAGCGTAAAATAGCAAAAATTCTTCAGTTCTAAACATTTGAGCTTTTTTCAAACGCATCGCTTAATTAGTGGAAGTGTGTCGAATAGATAATCAACAAGACACGTTATAGCGATCAGTCGATTTTATTTGACGATTGTCTGAGTGTGTAAAGGGAAGAAAGAAAATCGGGCTGCAGAAGTAACGCTCTTGAATCATAAAGCACGATAAAGAGGTTAACTGTTGTGTGTTGCTAAAAATATCTTTATCCCGCCTTCACACCTCATCTATCTACTTCATCCGAGATTCATCTTTCACATTGGTAAACTCGTTTCTTGATAAATCTAATCTATTAATAAAAAGAAAAAAGTTGATTATTTTTTCAATTTTTCAATCAATTTATTATTTTCAAGTGTTATAATAAAAAAGTTTTAAACTTGTTTCAAATTGAATTTAAAGAAATTGTGATAATTGCGCAAATAAATCAAGAATTAAATTCAATAATATTGAATCTAAAATGCGCGGAATATATCTTTTATCCGCATACATTAATGTATTAAAGAGTTACTTTGCTATGTATGTGTGTGTACATATAATATATATATATACATATATGTATATATATCTTAATAGCTTTTTCTCAAAACTTAGAGCATTTTTGAAACTTGTTTGTAAAAGTCACATTCTCTGCAAAGAAACATGTTTACGTTGTTAAATCGGAGTAATTTGCGCAGAACTGTTGAGACTTTCGCAAAAAAAAAAACAAAAAAAAAGAAGAACTAAATGAACGTTGTGCAAGTGAAACTTAAGGGGAAAGACTTCCCCGCAGTGAAGACCGGTTACGTATATGGCATTGAGTGACTTCAATGAGCGAAGGACACACTGCACAAGAAGTCACAAGAATATGGTCTTCAAAAAATATTATTATCACACGGAATACAATTGATACATTTAACTTATTGCAAAATTAATCATTGTTATTCCAAATCGCAAAACATATAATCACAATAGAGCAAAAGAATGTAGCATGTATATGAAAGTCTAAAGTCGTAGGTATCGTAATATATCAGATAATTCATGAAAGTCTCTTGAAAATATTGCATTATAACGAGTATTTCTTTCGTAAAGAATCAACATTACGATATTTTTAGTCTTTTACATAATAAAACAATATATATAGCACGAACAAATTTTCTTGCTCGTAAATAGCCCTCGATATTCTGAAGAGTTCGATTTGTCGAGTCGCGTACTCACGTTACGTTATCACTGTGAGCTCATATATCTAGAAATTATTTTTCCTATAGTATTCACAACTTCGAGCGTTAGAAACAGCGGGATAAAAGCATGTTAAATGCTCTCACGGCGGGAAAAGAGATCGTTGACCCGTGACCACGTGGAGTAGCACGTGCACTCGCGAGAGATTTCGCGTAAGAGGAGAACGATCGTCAAGTAAGAGACTATTGCATGGCAATGTTCAGGCAGGGAGCAAGGAACTGCTAATGCGACCAACGATCGTTAGAAATCTCTCACGTTTCTTGCGCTATAGCGTTCGCCTAGCCTAATCGCTCGTTAGACAAGTCACGTGCCGCAACGCCACGCTGAATTTGACCTGCACAATGACTACAAACCGACTCTCCATAGTCAATGATGACGTTTTCCACGCAGCACTCGAGGCAACACATTCGTTTTACACCTGCGCGAATGTCTCGATCTTTGCTCTTTCGGCTTTCGTGGAATTATGCTCGACTCACTCAATAGTAATTTTATTCCATAACACTGGCGCGAGGTTGCAACAAATTTCAACAATCATTTAAATTAGTACACATTGAGTATTAAAGTAGTAATCTTACAAGAGATATTTGGAAGAATATTGAAATAAAAGAGAAAAAAAGAACAAAAAAAAATCTTCTCCCGAAAAAGCTACTCATACAACGAGACAAGATTGCAATGTTTTTTCAGCAAACAAAATTAAATACATGCTAGAAACTGCAAACAGTTAAGAAAATCAAACTAACGAAAGAAAGAATAATTCTAACAACCGTTAGATCATCAACCAACAAATGTCACCAAATTTTATCACTCCAGCGAGAATTGACAACTCGATTTGTACACAAACTGGCCAAATAGCGTAATTTAATATTCGTGGAAGGTGTCTTGCGAAAAAACACTTAGCAAAACGGGCTCAAGACGTGAAGAGAAAAAATAAGCAAAAATAACTGGATGGACAGACATCCAATAGGATCACGATGAGAGGAGAAAGGAACAAAACGAGCTACGAAAAGAAGTAGAAAAGAAAATGAGAAGCATGAAGTTCCTGTCGTTAGATGCTCATAAAACGCAAACTCCCCGTAGCAAACATGAAAGAATCATTCTTGTTCGCTCTTGCGGTTCCAACAAGTCCGGTTAGAATTTAGGCTACGAGGAGCTCCTTCCTGAATCTGGAACACCTCGGTCGTTGGCCTTGCCTTCGATTCGCTGCCTTCAACATTTTCGGACGTGACTTTGTCCAATGGTATAACTGTATGCCCACAAACATTAAAACAAAGCTTTTATCTAACGAAAGTCTAGACGGTTTGAGTCGATACTCGCGGATCAAGCAATGTCTGTAGACGAATTATTTTCGATTCGTGGAAAGCAATTTTTTAACATTGTATGATATTCTCTCTATACTTCAATACTGTTTCAATTTGATTTTTTTTCTTTTTTTGAGTTAATAACATAGCTGCTGCTAGGTATATTTACCACCGTTGAGATTATCATCGTCACATCAACGTTTCTGCATCAACGTGGGAGACACGGTGAATGCACGCAAAGTCGCTACCGTTAATTTTGCGTGGTTATAATTGCACGCCTTTTTTTTCTCAGACATGCCTGATTCGCAGTGGCGGAGGCTGAGGACGAGTCCCGAATACGCAGCGGGATCGGAGGGATCCGGAGGGAAAGGCACGAAACGATTCGGAGATAATATACCGATGTACTGAATTACGCGTCCAACTACCGAATCATTTTGACCCACATCTATGGATCGTCGTTGCCTCGAGGCATCGAGATACCGGAGATCCGATCAAGTGCCTTCCTCTTGATGTTTCTTTGTCGAATCTACCGTGATGTTTATTTTTAAAACGGCGATAAATAACTGAAGAAACAAAAAGTCATTCCATAGTCCTCTCTCGCAACTAATCGGAAAATATCTTATGACAAGATTGAAAACTAATCCACAGTAAACGTTAAGGACGTGCGAAAGCTATACAGAAAAATTGTATTTCTCTTTGTATACGTTATTGTTGAGATAAATTGAGTATTTAGTACACGTTATAAGATTTAATTTGTAATTGTCTCATGTGTACACAAAACTTCCTTTATGCAAATATATCGTCTTGACATTGTGTTGATAATGGCGCGCAATGATAATTCTATCAGAGCATAATATGAGACCTATTTTCTAACAAGTGGCAACATACAGTTAACAAAAAGATAAACTGTATGATTTGTATTCAAAATGTGTTTGCGCGATTGTAAATTGTAAACATTTGACTTGAGTAGTTCTCAATGTACGATGTTGATGATGATATATAAGTACTAATAACAATTAATATTAACTATCCGAAGACAACATTAAAATTTGTCGCAAAAATGAAATAAATTAAGAAAAATATTAAAGCGGACGTTTTTGTGAAAAAGCCATAGACACGTGTTATATTTTACAAACACCCTTGAGATAAGCTCTGTATTTGCATATCTAGCGTCTGAAAAATTCCGTTAACGAACGGCGGATAAGGGTTACGTATATAAGAAAGGAAACAATACCTTGCAGTGTCAGACTAAGTGGTGTTCTAGTTCAATGAACAATGGGAATAATTTTACTGTTCGTAACGATCGGCGTCTGTTCAGGATTGCCAGCTAAGAGCTATCGTGGAACGCACGGTCATCCTACACCGCCTGATCCACGGTTTGATGGAGTTTTCAACAATGAACATAATCACGAGGAAATTGGTAATAAAATTTTTGACTAGACTTTCAATTGATTCCTGAAGTGGAATAAGCTTAATCAAAGTCTTTTATTGTGCTCGGTTTTTCAGCGAATAATATAAAATCTTGGAGTCCAAATGATCCGCAGAATGTTTGGGAACTAAGTGGTTTACATGAAGGCGATATAATGATTCATCCGGATAGTCCATCATGGAAAAATGGTCTTCTGGACGCTACAGCACGGTGGCATGGTGGTATTGTGCCGTATTTTATACAGGAAGATGATTTTGGTAATTTCTTATCATTTTTTTATATAATATACGTACAAAAACAATTCACGCAAACAATTTAATTTTATGTAAGAATTATATTTTTATAGATCGAGATCAAATTGAACTGATCAAAGAAGCCATGGGAGAGTATCATGAAAAAACCTGCTTACGTTTTCGACCTTACAAAGATTCTGACGAAGATTACGTGACAATACAAGCGAAAAAATCAGGATGTTGGTCTTTGGTAGGTCGTCATGGTCATGGACAAGTGTTGAATCTACAGAATCCAGGATGCGTTCATCACGGCGTAGTGGTGCACGAACTCATGCATGCCTTGGGCTTTTACCATCAGCAGAGTGCTGCAGATCGAGACGAATGGGTTACTATACATTGGGAGAACATCAAATTGGGTAAAAAAGAAATATATGTCACGTCAATATACTCAATTTGTACAATCTAATCAATTACTACTATATTATTATTACCATCACAATTATTATTATTATTACAATATTATATTATTTGATTGGATCATAAGATTGAATGTTAACAAATTTCTCTAGGTAAGGAGCATAACTTCAACAAATATGACAATCGCACTGTCACTGATTATGGTATCAGCTATGATTACAAGAGCGTTATGCATTACAGTTCCCACGCATTTTCCAGAAATGGAGAACCAACTATTACGCCAAAGGTAATAATCAAGTAGTACGTAAAATATTTTTATTGATGTGTCCGTTTACTTTCTACGTTTATATCATTTCGCAGAAAGAGAAGGTAAAACTTGGTCAACGGGACGGACTCAGCGAAAAGGATGTAGCCAAAGTACAAGCAATGTACAAAGAAGAATGTGGCGATCGTGAACCGGAAGGAAATGGAAGCAATTCTTTCGAGTCGTCTCAAGAGACTTCTATAGAATGGATATTTGATTAAATGTACATCCACAAAATCAGATTTTACAAATAAAATATATCGAAACATTGACACATTTTCACATTTGTAAGTTTAAAGCGTGTTTATTATTTAGCGATTTACATATAAAAAATATAAGAAATATAATTATATTGTCATAAAAAAAATTAAATGTAAGTATTAGTTTATCTAAAAATAAAGTATTCGCGCGCAATCTTATTCTATTACATGTATGATATCTTATAAGGCACACACACACAACACACACACAATAATAGCACTGGCATTGATCCTTGAGAACTTCTAAAAGCTTATTTCATTCTAAGGCACTTAACTGGCAGGAGGATTTTTCTGATTATAATACGTTAATTGTTTCAGTTCATTTATAGCATCTTCCGCAGCCTAAAATATTTTTATATGATATATTAAGAATTTTATGTTTAAAAAACACACGGTTATATAACCATTCACTTACGTGTCGTACATGTTCATCTTCATCTTCAGTTAAACCTTCTATAAAATTTCTTAATGATCTATCCCACACTTGTTGTAGCGCTCTACAACAAAATCTACCCAATAATCTGATCATGGTACACGTTCTTAATCGTAATACAGCTTGTCGATGATTAAGAAGTTTGCTGAGCTGTTCCACTAAGGCTCCTTATATTGAAAATATATCTTTACACATATGTAAATTATAAAGTTATAATGTTGCAGAAAATAATTCATAATCCTCACCAGAAGTTTGTGTGCGCAATACAACTCGTTCTACGAGTTCAGCATTTTCAGGCTGAGATCGCAGTATGTTATTTAAAATCGCAATAAGATCTCCAACAACTCTGGCTTTTCTTTTCTCCAAAGTTAATAATTGCTGTAGAAGTGGCACGCCATTTACGATATAAATAGCGTCGCAAAACTGCATGAGAAATTGATCTTCAACATAAACCAATCTACAAAGAACCAACATTGCACATTCGAGTGCTTGGAGCTCATCCGCGGATAAAGAAGACGCTGATTTTGTATCCGCATTCGCAGTATTTGCTGCGTTCGATTCATTGTCGGAACGTTCGGACATTAATAACTTTATAGCATAAACAAGATTCGGTACGACTCTTACATCTAAATAAACTCGTTCAATTTTCTCGAGATTCTCCTTATTGATCGACACTGTAAATGGCAAGGATAATAAGCAAGTTACATATTCAACAACTCGATAATCAGCTGCCGGATTTCTCAGAGGGGAAACAAATACAGATACACAGTTTTGTTGTAACAACGAGTCGATTTCACCATCCATAACTTCTTCCATCGACCTTTGTAGAAATGCAATCCATTCTTCATTTTCGATTGGCCTTTCTACAGCCCTTAGGTCCCAATCTGGCAATCGTACATGCTTCTCAGCTATATTTTTCTTACCAAATTCTTGGTCATAATCTATACTCAAGCAACTTTGCTTACAATCGCCATCGCCATGCATTTGATTTATATGATTTGACAATTTTTCAGTCTGTTGACCGACATTGATTCCATCACCCTGAGCATTAGTGTATTTTATATTATCTAATTGTCTTGTAGAACAGTTATTATCCGTTTGCATTTGAACAGGTTTTGGATGATTTTCCATTAATGAGAAATTATGTGGTACATTTGCATTATTTGGACAATCACTTTGACAGACAACGTGATCAGCAGCTAGAAGATCACTTCTCAGAGATGCTCTGAGACTGAGGTTTCCTAAAAGTACATCAATGCTAGCGCTGGAGTCAGTGCCGCTTGGTTCACTACGACGCAATGTCTGACAATGATTCATTCCATGTTGACAATAAGGAAGAGTCATAGGATAACCCGGCTGAGAGATACACGTTCGCTGGCGATACTCGTGATGTTTCCTCTCTTGCTCTTCTAGTTTTTGTATTGCTTTTTCTACAATTCTATATAAAAGATGTAAAATCACTAAAAGAATAACAATTGATAATTATATAAACAAACTACTACATAAATGTTAACTGCAGATAATATATTTCCTAATTAGTCTTACTAGCACTTATATGCTTGTTTATCACACACACACAAATCATATATGTTTCAACATAAGTTATATAAACTAAGATCACTTTATTATACCATTATATGATACATATAATAGTATACATATAACTTCGTTCAAACTATATAATTAATGATATACTTAGATTGATTTGCAGTACGCATTGCCAGACTTTGTAATTGCTGTTGCTTTGCTCTTGCTTGACTTGCAGATAATGGAGTTGTAAATGAACTAGGTGCGGCATCACCTACTATTATGATTCGATCTTTTACAAATGGATGATTGAGAAGAGCTGGCCAAGTCAGTCGCTGAGAAGGATCTTTCTGCAGTAAACCCTATAATTAAAATAACAATAATTAATGTTAGTAATAAAAGCAATGCATATATATACAATAGCATCTCTATATTGAAAATATTTTTACTTGTAAGAAGCTTTTACAATTTGGGGAAATAAAATCTGGCCACTTTATTGCTTCAAACCTGATTAACTTAATTAAATGCAATATCGAATTAGTTTGAAATGGAGGAGAACCCACTACTAATTCGTAAACTATACAACCCAAAGACCTGAAAAGATTGTTTAAATACTTTTTTAATATGTACATATCAATGTTTCTTTATTGTTAAAAATTTATATAAATACAATAAAATAAATACACAAGTTTTTATATTTGTACCATAAATCAGCATTAAAATCATAAGGATATTCTTCTATTAATTCTGGTGCCATATATAAGGGTGTGCCTTTAATTGAAGTAAGTACATGAGTACCAGTACTCATACTACGAGCAAATCCAAAATCACATAATTTAGCCACACCATTTGCTTCTAAGAGAACATTTTGTGGCTTGAGATCTCTGGTAATATCAACATAGTCATTATCACACTATAAGTCCATTGTTTTAGTCATACTTAAGCTAATCATCACACTAAAAGATTGCATTGGAAATTAGCTAGTTAGATCAAAGTGAGTTAATCTCAAAACAAACCTATGCATCACTCGATTGGTGTGTAAATAATACAAAGCTGATACTAAATCACAAGCTATTACTTGAACTCTTTCCTCAGACAATCTACCTTCTTTGTCCAATAAATCATAAAGTTCCTTATTTGCATATTCCGTTACAACTACTATCTAGATCAGATCATAAAAACATTTATATAGTAGAAACATATTTTTTATATACACATACACGCATAGTTTTAATCTGTACCTCACTTTCTGTTTCAAACGAATCTATCATCTGAATAATATTTGGATGATGTAGATGACGTTGAATTTCACATTCTTGGCGCAGACTTTTTAGCTCTTTAAATGTTCTACCAGACTGTAGAAAGAGAAATGTATACATGATGCATCAGTCACGTGCAAAATAAGTTATTTATAAATTGTTTTCAGGATGTCATTATATTTACATACCTTTCTTATCATTTTAAAGGCCACGATTTCACCATCTGACCGTTTTCTGGCTTTATACACTTGACCAAACGATCCTTCACCAATATGTTTTAAAATCTCATATTTCTTCATCTTAAAGTTTTCGTATTTCTTCATATTTTGTGACATTGACAACGTCAAACTTGAATATCAAAAATTGCGCTCTCTCTCTAGATTGATACAATATGCGCATGCGATATAACAAACTTGCTCAATGAACTCAAGATATATAAACTATATAGATATAAACCAACCAACGCAAAAACTTATACGTACTCATACATGTAAGAAAATTTGATAAAAGAGATAAGCTGAGAACTACTATGTGAACATTGTCATAAACTACATAACCACATCCACAACCACTCGATCTCTAATAGACATTAGTGGATAATACTATACTATACTATACTCTACAATTTGGTTGGTTTTGTTCTGTGCTGTCTACAATTAATTTGGTTCTGTTCCATGCTGTCATTATCTTTCTAATCTCAGGAGAGATTGATAGGTTCTGGCTAGTAAAAAACACCTTTCTACGAAAGTAGTGTAGTTCGTTTATTGTGTGTGCTCTCCGCTCGAGACGGATATTTCATAGGGGATCGATTGCGCCAATTCAGTAGCCCCACCGATTCTAGCAATAGCTATGTCAGTTGTCGGTGCTAGTGTCGACACACGCTGCATTGCATCTTTGACAATGCAACGCGATTGTGTCACACCTGTAACCAACTAATTCTCAGAAACACTGAAGAATTGTTAGTTGTTCTAACTCAGTTCTAAGTCATTGAGCAACGATAATGATGCACAATTTTACTTGGTCAAAATTTACTAATCTCTTACTAAATCGTTGTACAATAAAGATTAAAGTTAATAAAACATTATTTTAATGTAATGCTGTAGAGCGATAAGGATACTTAATTAAAACAATTAGTTAGGGAGGTAAACGCGAATTTCTCATATACGTGATGCAAGTATAACATCTTGTATGAATTTACAAGTTGAAATTTCAATTCAAACTTATATGTAAAATTTAAAAAGAAACACAAATATATATGTGTATATATATATATTTATATATAATCTATATATATATTTGTTTTTCCGCAACAAACATCATGCGTAAGGCTTCTATAACCGTTTAAATTTCGCGTTGTTAGTTTTAATTAAAAAATATTTTGTTTAAATTGAGAATTTTATATAAATTTATTTTCTTCAGAACATTGCAACTTAATACCATAGATAAAGTTCTATTTCAAGTTTTTCAATTTTTACAATTGGTTTTTGTAAATAATCAATATTCTTTATTTTTTCGTTTATGATCTCTGTGCTTTGAATGATGTCTCTCTGATGATCTATCACAATTTCGAGATTTATGTTTTTTTTCATGATGTTTATCTTTATATATATCTTTGCTTCGATGCTTGTCTTTCTTATGAGCTTTTTGATCTTTTGAATGAGACGACGTTTTATGTTCCCTATTTCTATGATTTTTATACGTTTCATCTGAATGTCTTTCTCGTCTAACTCGGTCTCTCGATCGATGATAATTTTTTTCCTCTGAGCGATTTTGTTTTAAATCGTCAATTTTACTATAACGGTGAGTATCTTCTTCTCTAAAGTCAAAATCGTCGTAGTTTTGCGGCGAAGTAAAAAATAATGCTTTACGCAAATATTTGGTTTTGTCTGACATTGTATCTAAATTAAAATCTTCTCTTTTGGTAGTCTGAATATTTGTTGCATGTTGAGAACTATTTTGTTCGGAAATATAATCCACATATACTTCCATTTGTTGATTAATTACTTCTCTAAGAATTTCAACTTGAGATTTCTTATTTGTGTGAACACCTCTATGCTTTGCTCTACGTCTCTTTAAGTTGCGTTCTTGTAGCATCAACTCTAGATAAGATACTTTTTTGTCATCTTTTTGATGTAATTTTCTGGAAAAACAGATTCAATATTATTTATAGATTACATTGAATATGAATAAAAAATATATTTTTTTTCTTGATTATAAACTCACAAATTGTTGATGTCTTCAATATCCCGTCCAATTTCTGGTTTTTTAGTGTTAGAAATGACATAATCATACAACGCTCTTCTTTCGTCACTGGTAAAATCTGTGATAAGTCTATCAGATGTACGCGGTATTAACCGCTCACCCGTACCTAGCATCATCGTCAAGAATTTATAATTTTTAAAAAATTATAAATATAAACAAACACAAATAGTAATAATTGTTTTTTGTATCGCTATGTATATAATTAGGAAAATAATATCTTAAAATATTTTGAAAATATTATATATATATCTACACATAAATATATGAATTGTTCTATAAATGAATACTGAGCAAAGGATATGAAAAAGGATATATTAGTTCGGCACCAAGTATAACACTTATAACTTGCTGGAAAAAATTCTTTTGTCATTTAAAATGTACAAGAATAACTAAAGATAGTTATGTTTATACCAACCAGTTTGCATTATTGGATTTTGCTCCTTAGCCTCCTTTAAAATGTGACTTTGCAGTTGTTCATCTACAATATAGATCTCATAAAGTTAAAATAAGTGTGTAAAAGATATAAACTTTATATACACAATAAATCAGCCATTTTAATACATAACTATGAATACATTTTAATGTTGTCAAGATTGACAAACAAACACACTATATTTATATAAATACATTTCTCTTGTGAAACATTTAAAAAATACGTTACTTACCAAATTTTATAGTAAATGGTGACTCAACAGATAAAGTTGGCTCTGATAATGGAAGACTCGATTTGTCATAATTCTCAGCTTTCCATTGACATAAAATAAGATGATCATTGAAAAATTGTTCTGTTATTCGATGAGACGAATTATATGGACATGTAAAATATTCTTTGTCCTATATAAAAAAATATATTAATTATATATCACACAACACATATATTTTTATTATATATCAATCATGTATAATGACAATTGTATCAAATGTACATTTTGTTAGATAAGTGTATATAATTGGTTAACAAAATTTATAATTATGCTTACCACGTTTGTCACACTCTCCACAGTCCAGCCTAAAGTTCTAACAGTATCGGCAACTTCTTTGTTAACTGCATCGGTAAAATTCTTCAGTTCCTCTAATTGTTGTTTACGGGAATCACTTATAGTTTTTAACATATTGATGTTTTTTACTAATCAAGTATTTGTATATCAAATTCAATTGCTGTTAAATATGTTGAATATTTATTGTGTATATAGTTCACGTAAAAAAATTAATTATTGTACGTTAAGAAAAATTGTTTTGAAATGTTTTAAATAAGTTGTGCGAAAGAAATTATATCAAAGGTTCGGTTGAGTTGATGCAAGTTAGGGTTAGCAAACGACCTTAACAGGTAGTCTATACGCCATTTTGTGTACAGTGACATCTATTGCAGATTATTATGCAGTATTTGTTCTGTTTTACCTAAATGGCGCAAAGTCGTCTTTTACAGTAGGTAGGTAAGTAAACCCATTTATATTGTGTTCATACCACTGAACTTCAGTGATCTTCAGACAGCACAGAAAGACCAAAAGACATCTTAACGATGTCTAAAGAAGATGTTTTTAAATTGTCGTTTAGTGTTTTAGAGATATGTGCTGTTAAAACATGTAAATCTAGGTCTGACCAGGAAACTGGTTTATTTGACGCAACTTAAGTCTGTTTTTTCACTATCTTAAAATATATTTATCTCTTTTAGAATATATTTATATATATTTTTGTGCAAGCGTAAGCGCGGAAGCTTCTTTGTTCGTTCTATGTCGTGCCGACAAAGACATCTGTTGGTTATAATACGAACACGGTAACAAGACTCTTGTCGATTTTGTTTTTTACTTTGTGAATGTGTAGTTCGAAATATTATATTTATACACATATATATATATCAATAAATGTTTATCAATATTATATATTTTTTAATATAGCCGATTATACTAAAATAAATTGATAATCGTTATTACAGTAGAATAGAAAGTAATAGAATATAAACGTAATCATACATTTTTAAATATATTTTCTTTGTCTCTGTATATTATTTTATAGAAACTGTTTGCGCGTCAAAATAAAGATTGTTTGCGTTGAACATAATAAAAAACGAGTGCTTTTTATCGTTAAAGTAGAACGATAAAAAGTACTCGCTTTTAGTCACATTAATTCGAAGCAGTCGGTCGAGTCACGACAATTTTCGAGGCGATAAATCGACACCGCGGCCACGAGGATTCCCAACTTCGGCCGGAAAGAAAAGAAGAATCACTAGCTGCCGTGAATCAAAACGACAGCTACAAAGGCAAGACAAAGTGCCTTCTCGCCGTAAGAGAACCAAATTCGCGTGCGAATCGCGCGGATATTCCCGTCGACGTCTCCGATGAGGAAGTATGAGGGCAGAAGAGAGGACGGAATTGAGCGGGCGGGAAAACAGGGAAGACAAGCATAAGAGAGAAAGATAGGGTGAAAGCGGGATGAAGAGAGTCGCGGAAGAGAGTCGCGGGGAAACGAGGACGGGGGAGAGGCGAGAGAGCGAAATGGCTCTCGACTGCCGCTACCAGACAAAGAAGCCCGTCAAGCAGGATGATGGACGCCTTCATGAACGACCCTACGGAGTCCCGTACATCACTTTTATTACCGCCGTCCTCATTTTCATATTTCATATTTACATTTCTAGACCGCCGTAAATCAGCGAATTTATGGGTAATTAGGCCTTTGTGCCGTGTGGACCCACACCGAGTACGTCGAGGACTCGGGGCTTATCGAACGATACCGAGAGCTGCCAGCGGCTTATATCGCGCAGGACGGACTTTTCCCTTTCACATCACCCTCGTTCTCTATCGCGGTTCAGTTCGATGTTGTCGTCTCTCACTCCGCGGAGAAACGAGCAGAATGACTTTTCCACACAGAGTATACGCACGCGGCGCTCGCCTTTCTCGCTTCTCTAAAGAGGATTCTGAAGTTTGTATGTGCGCCCGTGAGCGGTGAGGGGGTTTCCAAGTTGCGCGAGTAATAAAAATCTAGAGCAGATTGGAAGGATTCTTCAATTTTATTTATAGCGATGACCGCTTTACAAAGCGTATTAAAACTTTTACATTCTCCTCTTGTTAAAGGCGCCTGGAGATATTGTAGTTATCGTATCTCGCGCGAAATGCGCTTCGACAATCTACTTGCGCCCGATCTATTCTCTTTGTGTTTTTTGCAGTATTACTGATTTCAAAATATGGTTTGCATAATCCAAATATTGCGGTGAATAAAAATGTTAATTTTCACAGATTACATTTCTATCTTACACACATGTCTGCAACATAGTGTATCTTCTTAACGGTTTCAAGCAAGAAAGTTCGGAAAGAACTTTCGCGTCGATAAACGGCAGCTATTTTGAGTTTTCCCCAACAGTGTTGCTCGAGAAGACGACATTGACGTTAGCAGCGAACTACGAGGCGTTGAGCATATTACGACATCATAAAGGTCCCTTTTAATATTTAATAGTGCGTTTTAATGGTGCACGCAGGTGCGAGTGTGCATCGTGTCATCTACTTTCCGCCCACCTCGCGCATCTTAAGTATCTGTTAATGATGGCTTACAACGAAATGGCAAAGTTTTCTTCTTCGACTGTTCTTTGTTCGCGCGTGTTTGCTACTATCAATATTAAAATCTTCCATCGCAATTTGCTTGTTACCACGTCTTTTATATGAGTTCTCTTATATTGTGCTGCGATAATAATTCGCACTTTCCACTTTTGTAATTTGCTATTCTATCAATAATATTAGATATTATTTTATTCAAATAACAATAACTATATAATATTAAATTTTAGTAATGAGTATTTAAGACCTCTACTGTGTGTTCTAATTAGTGTTTTTTATCTTAGAAAAAAATTACTGTTAATCATATATTTGATACCAGAATTGAATTAACAAAAAATGAAGAAAGAAATACATGAAATTGCTATATTTTAATTATTAAGACTCAATGTCGGCATGATAAACGTTATTTATTAAATATTTTAAAATATGTATAAACACAATTGTACATGTTCATTTATAAATCGCACGTCAAATTTTCACAACACATTTACTATATTCAACGAACGCGTTCAATTGCCAAGTGTTGATCAATATTGATAACTATATGTAACAATACATCAGCATCAGAACATTTGCATTTATCGAATGCAAATTATTTGATTCGTGTTGCAATATTCGGCAAACCGTCTCTAAACATTTGTTGAATGTTTATCTGGTGCATTAGCAGCTTACAGTGCGTATCTAAATGTGACCACTCACCCAGGACTTGTCAAACCGAGATAGGTATAATGCATCGTATAGATCATATGACGCGTATGACGATGTAATAATTCATATCAACGTGATAATTCCACAATTGAACATGACAGAAGCAAAATTTGCTAAATAAATATGATATATATATATATATATATATATATTTATATTTGCCTTTCATATTTGAGAAATAAATATGTTGCCTCAGTAGAATCCTTCGCGGCGCGTAACTCTGCATTGAAAAATTTATCTTGATGTCAACACGAGAAACGCATACATTATAACGGTTTATTAAAATTTTGTCGCAGTACATCATATAATAATATCGCAAAACGTTAAGATAATACTTGTATATAAAATAACATTTATTTGTAAATCTAATAAATGTGTATGTGTTGCACATTTTGTTTCCACAATGTGAGATGTTAAAATCCACTGTGAAGTCTCATCTCATGATTGCCATGCTATAATAGATTAAATGCGGATCATTTGTGTACCGAGTAGAATGTTTGATGAATGATCGTGTCGTCCGGAGTCGGCTTAAATCAAGTGTATCAACGTCTCGTAGCCGTCAATGCCTTGGATAAGCTATCGGTCGAATAAACGTGTTGTCGCGGTGTAATTCCGCACGAAGCGCGAGTGAATTATACGCGTGATTGTCGCGCGATATAACACGCAACGAAAGCGTGATGAACGATCGAAACCATGCGACCGCTTCAAGCCGCTTCGACGCCTTCACGTTCGCAATAGATTCGACACACGCGACTCTTTGATTACTCTGCGACCACGCTAGTTTTCCGCCTGATGTATTCACGGTTGCCCCGTGAAGAATAACAATTAATTGTTCCTTGATGTTTTATCGCCATCTTGCATTTGCATACATAATATCAGCAACGTCTTTTACCCTCGTATTTCATCGATCAACGTTTGCGCGTGTAGCGAATGCGCGCGTAAACTGACCAACTAATTCAAAACTCTTGTTCTTTCGGTATCCGTTTTATTTTTGCGAATATATTTCTTACTTCGTTTCTGTCAATCATTATTTTGATAACTTACGACTGTGATGTTTCGTAATGACAAGTGTACATGGTTGCAACGGTGTGAATTGGCAGGTGATTCAAAACAACTGAGTCGATTTAAGTTCTTTTTCTACTATATATGCGTATATAAGTATGCATCCTCTTTTTAACGTACGAATGTGCTACTTGCAGGGCGCAGGAAAATACAAAACGAATCGTGAAAGCCGTGGAAGTCCGCTTCGTATCTTAATGAGACTCGTTTGTCGCTTAAAGTTCGTCCGCTCCAAAGAGTGGCAGAAGCGTTCAAATCAGAAGGGCGATTCTCTCCCTAACCCTTTAATTAGTAGTCATAAATTGTAGCAATATTAGGTTGATAATGCCTCGCTTTTCGGTTTAATTTATACTTCCGAATTACACTCGTCGAACGGATCCGAAAGTTTTACACAATCATCCTCATTCCATCGCGATAGTACCTTTCTATTAAACAACTTCCCGCGTGAAAGACGACTCTTGACTCTTTATACGTGATGGGTCTGATGTAATCGAGATGATATATCGCGCATTTATACAATTTATGCAGCATGATACAAATCGCAGACTTTTCCAGATTTATGTAATGCCTTGCTTTTATTCATCGATTTTTCAGTGACAATCAATACAACTTTCAGCAATTCGGTTAATTTATAGCATCTTTTAATATAGAAACAAGTACACTTTTCTTTACAATCTATTGCTTGTTGGGACGCTGCAAATTATAATTTAAATATTAATCATCAAAAAGATCAAATCGTGCAAAGATGCATTTCTAAGGAGTGGACGTAATGTGCGTATATTTACTTTAGTACCCACCTGTTGCAGTAACCCAGTTTCTTACGTACACCCACCAGAAACTTTTTAAACTTCTCAAGGATCCCTTTAAATTCCCGACCTTTACATGACATTTAAGAATGCGCAATTAACTGCATACGCAGTTATAAAAGAAAATACGCTTTTTGATGCTGTTTGTATAAAATGAAAACAAACAAAAGTGCAAAATACTTTGTATTTAGTTTTAGATAATGATATTGAATTTAAATTGAATT